TTAAATGACATCTCACAGAATTTGAGAATTTGGAGGGAATCTAGATACTGACCAGTCCAATCCATATTTAAAGATAATCACAAATACAAAGTACTTGAGGAATATTGTCTAGCCTTTGAAGTACCTTCAGGGAGAGAATATCAATCACCTCTTGAGGAAACCCATTCCACTTTTGGACAAATCTTAATGTTAGAGTTTGTCCTAACATCAAGCTTAGATTTGTCCCCATTTCCTCCTAATTCTGTCCTCTGGGTCCAAATTGAATATTCTCTCCTCTACATGAAAGCCTTTTAGATACTTGTGAAGTTAACATGATGCCCTTTGTCTTCTTTTCTCTCCAATCCCATCCTCATATGACATAGACTCAGGACTCTTTGCCATCCTGGTTGCCTTCCTCTGGACATTCTCCAGTTTATCAATGTCAATCTTAAAACATCTTGCCAGCCAGGCAAGGTGGGCATATCTGGAATCCTCATTGCTGGGATGAGGCTGCTGAATCACTTGAGTCTGGGAATTTTGAGCTACAGTAGGGCTAACATATATTACACTATAAGAATAAAGTTTATCAAGTGTTCATCTCCGTCTGACACCAATATGGTGACCCTCTAGCAGCAAAGAGCCACTTGGTTGTTTACAAAGGGGAAAATTGGCCTGGGTTGGAAAAATGAAGTGGGTTAAAACTTTATCCATGCTGATCAGTATTAAGATCAAGCCGATGAGCGGCTGCTCTATTTCCAGCATGGGTGAGATAGAGAGATCCAGTCCCAAACAAAACAAAAGAAACAAACCAAAAAAACCCTTGTGCCTAAAATTGAACACAATACACCAGAAGAGGTCTCACAAGGACATAGTACGGGATTACTACTTTTCCATCTTTTTTAAGAAGTTTTCTTTTTTTTTTTTTAATTCTGAGCTTAAACACTCCAAAAAGAACATTTCCATGTACACAGAAGAAATCAGAAGATTGTATATGAAGCTGTATATCTCTTTCAGACTATGTGCTCTTTAAAATATGTGTGGGTGTGTATAATAAATTCAATGATACATTCGAAATGATTCTGCTCATCTGTGCTTCCTTTAGAACTTTCTCCTGGTTTTTCTATGCATTTAAAATGTTTTTCAATGGTCTTTTATTTTATTTTAATATCTGTAGTGCTAACCTTGCTTACCCCCACCCCGATAAAGACCTTGGAACAAGTAAATATAGTTAAGCAAAATAATAATGCATGTCTTCTTTGGAGTCTGCCCCATCTCTGACAAGATTTCGGTAACATATTTCATCATCAGTCCTCTGGAGAAAAGACTGGTCTGTGCTTTCCTGTATCAGAGTTAAGTCTTTCAAAGTTTTTTGCTGTACAATGTTGCTGCCCTGGTATAAATTATTCTGTATAAAGACCCTAAGGAAAAAAATATGGCTTATGATTTATTTTAAATGTCATTGTCTTTTCCTTCTATTCTGTTAAATTTTATTCTATGTCAGCATTTTGAGTTCCAGATCTGCTATTTTTTCTCTCTCAGACCCTCCTATTTGGAGAGTTTCTCCAGTGTTCATTCATTTTTTTCCCTAATCATCTCTCCGTGTGTTTTAGTACTGTTAGGAGAACTCTGATTTCTGACCCAATTTCAATCCTAATATTTTCTTCTAAGAGTTTCATTTCTCTTTTGAATCATTTTAAAATTTCTTGCTGCTGTTTCATGATCCCAAGGGAGTGGGATGGATTGATTTTTTTTTTTGTGGGGATTTTTGTGTCATTTTCCTTAACTTCCTATTTGCAGTTGGTTTTCTGGACTCTACTCGTATTACTTTTATTTTTATCCTTATGATCCTCTCTCTTGATCTATCTGGTTATAAGGTAGATTTTTATTATGCTTTCTCTCTTTAATTTTTACTCTTTTAGTCTTTCTCTTGCATTTCTAGTCACTTGCTTTGGTTTCCCTACTGATTCTGGTTCCCATTCTCCTTTATAATGCTGTGCAGATACTTCAGGCTGAGCTGCTGAGCATCCTCAACCTCCTTGCATGAGTGTGTATGTCTATGGTGGTGGTGGTGGTGGAGTTGGTCAACCTGGCTTGGGTTCTTGTCCAGTAAACTCTGGAAGGTCAGACAATTGGCCCCAGCTGGATTTTCAGTCCCTTTTTACATTAGCTATGGAAGCTCTCAAATTATGGTGTTGAAGAAGACTTTTTTAGAGTTCTTTGGATAGTGAGGAAATCAAATCAGTCAATACTTAAATAAATTAATTCAGATATTCACTGGAAGGTCAAATACCAAAGCTGAAGCTTAAATACTTTGGCCCCATAATGAGAAGACAGGTGTCATTGGAAAAGACCCTGATGTTGGGAAATATTGAAGGCAAAAGGAAAAGGCTACAGCAGAGGATGAGATGGATAGATAGTGTCATGGAAACAATGAATGTGAACTTGGACCAACTTTGAGACATGGTAGAGGATAGAAGAACCTAGTTGCTATGGTTTATGAGGTCATGAAGCATTGGACATGACTGAACATGGATGCTCTTTTTTCCTTTACCTTTTGTGCTGTTTTCCAACACCCCACCTTGCCCCAAATCCCATCCTCAACTTGTTCTCCATGTCCTTTGCTTGGCTAGACAGGATCAGTGTATGCTACTTTTTTGAGTCTGAAGAATGATTGAGGCTGAGTCATTGCTGTGGAGAGAGCAGACAGGGCCCATCATAGCCAGACTGCATCCCAAGTCTTATGAGTTGGCTTGCACTCACTTGTGACTAGTGCACAGTGGGATGGATGATGGCACTGCGTGGGAACTCTGAATACTCAAGTCATCTGTAAAATGAAGTAGTTGGAGCAGATGTCCTCTTCGGATCCAGATCTGTGATCCTAAATCCTCTGATGTTATTTTGAGAAGATTAACCTTATACAATGTTCCTAGTGTTGGTTTTTTTTTTTTTACATAAATCCAGATGCCCTCAGACCTTATTCATAGACTATCCTGTGTAGAACTGGAATAAGGCCATTGAGTCCATTCCCCTCATTTTACAGATGAGGATACTGAGACCCAGAGAAGGGAAGTTGCCCCAAATGACATAGGTAGGAAAATCGGAGGTGGGATTTGAATCCAGATCTTCTGCTCCCTGAGCCATTGATCCCTTCACTATGCCATTTCCACCACACCTCAGTTTTAAATAGCCTATGGTGCATAATTCTGCTTTCTGAAGCTTTTATTTTGCTAAGGGCTACCCCCAAACAAATATTCTGTTATCTTACCAGTCACATGATATCTCAGATATACTTAAAAAATGAAACCAACAAAGGGTCTATGAAATAGAAGCACTTAGTGTCGACAATGACCTTAATCTGGCCCTCTCTAGAACAGAACCAGGGTGCCAAACCATACTTAAGGGGAAGTAGGAGAATAAGATAGCAAAAGAGACAGGGAATGCATAGTCAGAGGGATAGGAAGAGAACCATGAAAATGGAATGTCATAAAAGCTAAGGCAGAGACATAACTGAGAAAGTATAATCCCAAGTGAATATTTCCCTCCCACATTTAGGAAAGTAGTTACAAATTACCATATGAAAAAAGTTGAATTCTTTCTTTCTGATTTAGCCCAGATAAATCTACTGTTGCTTGGCCAAAGCACTGGGACATTATTGCAGGCCAGAGAACAATAAACAAATGTGGTTTAGTGAAAGTAGTCCTGTTCTGAAGTGAAAAATTGGACACCTAAGTAACATCTCACTCCAATGAGACCTCTGCAGATATTTGTCATTGACAGAACAGGCATTGAGCAGCTGTCAGAATCTAAAGATGTATATGGAAGGCACTTCAAAGAACCAACAAAAATCAATTAGAAGAACACGTAAAACAGCCCAGTGTCTACAGCACACGACAGGCATGATTTAACTAAATCGACCAGCCATAATTCAAGCAAACAAATATATAACCCTAGGCTGTTTCTATCTAATCCTAAAACAAGCAGATCCGGAAGACTCGGTATTTAGGAGATATTATAGATATCATTTTAATATTCCCTTAAGTCCCTTGTTCTCTACTTGGGATTAGAGATGGCATTCAGGTAAGTTCTTGTCCTTATAATTAGATTTTAAGTTCCTTGAGGGCAGAGACTAGTTTTGCCTTTCTTTGTGTATATCTGCAGCACTTAGGATAGTGCCTGGCACATAGTCAGTCAATAGACATTTATTAAGCACTTACTGTATTCTAGGCATTATGCTAAGCACTGGGAATCCAAATAAGGAAAAGTGAAAGTTCTTTCCAGCAAAAATCTTATTATCTATTGTGGAAAGACTACAGACAAAAGGAAGGTGAGGAGGAGGTAAGTGACAAGGGAGCGTGATGGAGATGTCCAAGGTAAAGTGCAGCCAGATGGTAAATGAGAGATGGCTGGTCTGGGCACCCTTTTAAATAGAGTTGGAGGAGGCGCTTGTCATTCTGCCCTCCAATCAGAAGGCCAGAGAATACCTATGAGGGGTGAATACCAAGATTGTCTATGTCCTTCTTGATTTGACTTGACTTGTCCTGAATACCTTGTTGTTATTGTATAGTTGTTCAGTTGTGTCTGACCCTGTATGATCCCCATAGACTTGCCCATGGGGTTTTCTTGGCAGAGATACTGGAATGGTTTGCCATTTCCTTCTCCAGTATGTCCTCATTTTACAGGTGAGAGGCACTGAGGCAAATAGGGATTAACTGATTTGCTTAGAGTCACACAGCTAGTAAGTGAGACTGGATTTGAACTCATCTTTCTGATTCCAAGCCCAGTGATCTTTCCACTGCAGCACCTAGCCGTCCCACATCCTGAATACTTAGATCTACTCAAATTCTTAGAGAATCTATGATTATAATAATGACCACCTAGCTTTTGTATGGTGTTTTAAAATTTGCAAAACATTTTATACATGTCATCTCATTTGACCCTCCTAACAATCCTGTTAGGCAGGTGTTATTATTATCCTTGTTTTACATATGAGGCAACTGGGGCTGAGAAGTTAAGTAACTTACTAAGGGTTACACAGTTGGAAATTGTCTGAATCCAGGTCCAATGCTCTGTCCATGGTGCCTCTTAACTGCTTGGTGATTTCATGGGCCTCAACAATGCCCCTGTAGTACACCAACTTCATAGGCTTCTGTATCTCATTTACTTGTTCATCAGTTCTTTAGCACTGAATCTTTCTGACCTCTCTTAGGCTATTGCTTTGACAACAATTTGTCATTAGGTCATAATCAAAGCTATTCTAGGTTGGGGCTTGTATTCCACTGGTGTTGGTGTTCTAGAACCCCTAGTTACCAACATGTCATGATGAGACGTCGAAGGACAGTCATGACTCTTTAGACTAAATGCCTTTTTCAATGGTGGTATTACTTTGGGATATTTGCAATTTGTCGTAGAATGGGGTTTGGATTTGTTCTGCTTGGCCCCAGAGGAAAGAATGAGGAGCCATGGGTAGAGGCTGTGAGAGATAAACTGAAGCTTTGTGTCATGGAAAAAAAAAGAAAGAAAAAACTTCCTAACAATCAGAGCAAGCATTCCCAACCCCAGCCAGTCTGGAAAAGCTAGTCAAAAATGTATGGACATATTTGGTAAATAACTGTATCATCCTAATGAAATATTTTAAAAGTATTAGTTAATACATTTATGCATTGGGGAGAGAATAAATTTATGGTACAAAACATGTAGTTTTTAAAAAATTCTTTATGAAGAATTAATCTTTCATATTTTTTTATGTCGATGTGAATGAACCTTACAATTTATTTGCTTTCATGTCGAATAAGGGAAATGGGAAGGTTTACTGAGATCCAAGGGCTTATGAAGGTTGAGAAGGTCAGGAACCCCTGAATTAGAACAATGCAAAGCAGTATGGGCCTTCCCATCCCTCTGAGGCTGGATGACCACTTACTAGGTACAGTGTAGTCTGGCCTCTTGTTTAGTTTTGGGGTAGACCCGAAGACCCTTGAGCCCCCTTTGGACTCTTAACATTATATGAGCCTCCAATTCTTTTATTTGTCAGTGGTGAAATGGGAAGTCAGTTGCTCCTTGGATGTGAATATTTCACCTTGGAATCATCCTAAGCATATTCCATAGGTTCAGAATGATGGTTGTTGTTCAATTTTCTTTTGCACTTAAGCCAGGTGTGGTATAGGAGTGCAGTGGGATTTCCCAGTTTGTCAGTGTTTTCCAGCCTTTTGAGTTAGGTGACCCCTTTTCTGCATTAAAATGTCATGGGTCCCACATGACTGATCACTTGCACAAGGACAAAAAGCCGGGATGAATCCTGAAGCTTGGGAACTGAATTGGTGAGTCCTTAGTGAAGGGAGCCCCCTGTGTGGAATCTTCTCTTATCATTCAGGTCAACACCCTCTGGGAAGCAGGATGCCTACAGTTCAGAGAACTTACCTGGGATCACCCAGCCAAGATATGGGACTTGAATCTAGGCCAGTTCTCTGTTCGTAATGCCCATGCTTCCTGGTACTTTAAAAGGAATTTACATTTCATTAATCAGAATAGCAGAGAGAAGCAACATGGTTTAGAGAACAGATGGCTTTAGAGACTGAGAGATCTGGATTTGAGTTCTAATTCTGATTTATATTCATTGTCTGACCTTGAGCAAGTCACTTAACTTCTGAGTGCCTCAGAACCCTCCCTAAGATTACAAATTACAAATGATTTATTGAATTATATCGATGGAGAGACTTTATATGGTGTGAGTTCCCTATGTTGATGAAATCACAGACCTAGACATCTACCCTCTGCCTCCCCCCCGAAAAAAAATCACAATAGTATTCACATACATTTGAAAATTTGCCGTGCATTATTTGTGAGGCATATTATCTTTTGAGTCCACAAAAGTCTGCTTGCTTATTTATTATATGGAATCATTTAACATGGCTGGAGCTGTTTTTATAAAATTGTCAACATGAAACCCATTATTCATGCAACAAGTTTTGTTGGAACTCAAGGAGGATCAAAATGACAAGGCCACAAATCTGGATTTATGGACCCCTTGCAATAAATAACTCTGTGACCCCCAGGGGTTCACAGCTCAAAGGCTGGGAATCAATGGTGGTGAGTCAAGGATTTCTTAACCTAGGATCCATGGATAGATTGCATAGGGCCTGTGAAAGTGGAGAAGGAAGTATGCACTTTTATTTTGGTTTCATTTTTAATCTCATGTATTTTATTTCATGTATTTTCACACATTATTTTGAAAAGGGGTTCATGTATTTTACCAGGCTGTCAAAGGGGCTCTTGGCACATATAAGGCTCTGGTTTAAGTGATAGAAAAAATGCATAGAGTTTTTCACTTTACTGCTCCCATTGAGGAAAACCAGGAGTTATATTATATATATATGTGTGTGTGTGTGTGTGTGTATGTGTGTGTGTGTGTGTGTGTGTGTGTGTATATATATATACACACATATATATATATATATATATATATTACAAATAGTAATATATACACATTATATATATATATATATATATATATATTATCTAGTTATATTATCTTTGTTGAGAAGTTATTTAATGGGAGGTCCATCTTTGGGCTTTCATTCATAAAGAGAATTGTCTGCACCAGAGCAGATGGCCCACTTCTCTGTAATGTATACATAATCTTGGAGATCTGTCTAAAGAAATAAAAAGGCTAATTGATTTGCCTAGTAGATCAGCCAGTCAGTCAGTCAGCATTTATTTAAGCATTTATTATAAGTTTACCTTGTGCTTGGCACCATGCCAAACACTGGGAATGCAAAGAAATGTGACCACATGGTCACAGCCCTCAAGGAACTTGCAATCTAGTGCTGGAGACAAAATGTAAATAGCTATGTTCATCTATGTTCATATACAAGATATATAGAGTGTAAATGAAAGGCCCCTTCCAGAAAGTGGGATTCGAAGGAAGCTTGGGGGTCAAGGTGAGGAGGGAAAACATTTCCTGAATGGGAAGAAGGCAGAGCAAAGGCTTGGAATTGGGAGATCTAGTGTCATGTGAGAGGAACATGGAAAACAACACAAACAAAAAACCCAGGCTGGCTAGCTCTTAGTGAGTGAAGAGGAATAAAGTATGAAACCAAAACCAAAACTGAATGAGAAAGTAGAGGTTGTGAAGGACTTTAAATAGCAAGAAGAGGATTTGATTTGATTTTTTAAAGAATATTTATATTTTATTTTCTCAATTATATGTAAATTATATGTTAAAATTATATGTAACACATTTTAACATTCATTTAAAAAATTTGAGTTCCCAATTTCTTCCCTCCCCTCTACACTTGTTGAGAATGCAAGTACTTTGATATGTTTTACACACACACACACACACACACACACACATACACACACACACACACACACACACACACACACACACATATATATGCAGTCATGCAAAACATATTTCCATATTAGCCATGTTGCAAAAGAGAACACAGACAAAAAAAAACACCCAAGAAAAAATAAAGTGAAAAATATTATGCTTCAGTCTGCATTGAGATTCCATCAGTTCTTTCTGTGGAGGTGGATAGCATTTTTCATCATGGGTCCTTTGGGATTTTCTTGGATCACTGTATTACTGAGAAGAGCTAAGTTATTCACAGTTGATCATCATACAATATTGCTGTTACTGTGTACAGTGATCTCCTGGTTGTCAAGTAGAGGATTTTATATTGGATCTTTGAGCCACTGGAGTTTATTGAGTTGAGGGGGAGAGGGTGTAGCATGGCCTAGTGTGTATTTTAGGAAAAATCACTTTGATCTCTGAGTGGAGGAGGGATTGGGGTGAGGAGAGAGTTGAGACAAGATTGTTGTGATAGTGATGGTAAGAAGTGACGAGGGCCTGAACAGGATGGTGCGTGTCTAGTTTGTGTTAAGAGATATGAATTTGAGCACAAGTCTTCCTGAATTCAATTCCTGTTCTTGGAACATGGTCTTGAAACTGGCACCTCCTCAAAATATTTTCTTGCTGCACTGCACGATGGCGCTCCTTTACCATCTTGGCATCTTGGCCATCTTTTGTCTTCTTGAGACAGCTCCATACATACACTTCTCCCACAATTTCCCCAGTCTCTCTCTCAATCTCCTATTCTATTAGTTGTTCAAGTTTTTGAATGCTGAATGTTCCATTCAAAGAGAACAAAATGTAGACTAAACAGTGATTAAGAAAAACAAACCAGCCAGCTTTTCAATTGGTTTTCCCAAAGTGACTTTGGGATACCATGTTTTCTGAGAACAAAGAACAAGAACAACACCAACAACAGTCTTGGATTTGGGCTGAATGTGGGCACTTATCCCATCTGTTGTCTGGTTTCCATGGTGATTATTGTGGCATCATCTGCTGTTCAGGGGCCCGAGCTGTACAGCACCACCCAGATTCAGTCACGACAAAACAAGAGGCAGGACAGAGAGCTCTCCTGGCAGGCACTTATGTTTTCTAAAAATACACAGATGAGGACGCTGGAGATGCTGCATCTCTTACCCTTCCTGGCAACGTGTGGCACACACTCTTCATCTCACCCGTCCACTGAAAATCCCGTACACTGGACTGCCGACCCTTGTGGACTCTGTTTGAGAAACTAGGAAAGGACAAACATGTCAACAGCAAAGCCCTTCCAGCTCTGGAGGCTCAGAAGCCCCCACTGGAGGCACAAGAATGAACTCCAGGGTGATTGGAGAATGAAGAGAGTGGTGACTTTAAATCAGCAGACATCTGGGAGGCTGCTTGGCTTATCTGTAGAGCACTGGACTCCAGTGAGGGAAGATCTGAGTTCACTACTATTAAACCCTTGCTGTCTGATTCTGGTGAGCCTCTTAAACTTCTCCTCCTCAGTTTCCTCATCTGTCAAATGAGGTTAAAAATAGTCCCTCCTTAACAGGATGGTTGTGAAGAACAGACCAAATGAGACAACTAGGTATAAAGCGCTTTGTAAACTTTAAAACCCTATGAAAATATGATCCATTAGTAAATCCTGTCTGAGGCCTGTGCTAGCTGGATGATCATGCCCCAGTCACTTAATCTTCCTGTCTCAGTTTTCTTACCTGTAAAATAGGGATAATAGTCCCCATTACGCAGGGTTATTATGGAAATTGAATGAGAAGATGTACGCAAAGTGCTATACAAGTTCTACAATATAATTTAAATGTAAGCATTTAGAGTAGAAGCCAAGATTCTTTATTC